GGCAACCGGCCCTAGCAACGGGCTTGGTTACGCATAGCAGGACGTCTGAGCATCGGAGCCGTCAAAGCCCGACCCGGCAACCGGCCCTAGCAACGGGCTTGGTTACGCATAGCAGGACATCCAAGCATTGGAGCTGTCAAAGCCCGACCCGGCAACCGGCCCTAGCTACGGGCGCCATGGTTACACGGCGCAAAGTCTGCACGACAACCCGTGCGTGTGGCCGCAGGGCGAGACAGATGACCGGCGGCCGGTCCCGTTCACCCTGTCGTGAGAGCTCTGGGGCCCGGAGGGAGAGGTCGGTTCTAGAAGGTTCTAAAGGGGAAACAGAGTCGCGAGACGCTCGAGACGGGATCTGGGGTCTAGAGAGCGAGTAGGATGTTCCAGAAGAAGATGTCTGTGCTATATTCAAACCCATGGAGACGGTCGGGAGGCGCTTAAAAAAAAAATGACACTGTCCCCTGAAAATCAGCCCTACTGGGGTGTCTTCTTGGGGAAAAATAAATAGAAAATCCCCGTCTGATTTTCGGGGAAACTCGGTAATTTGGGACCCTTGGGCGACGGGCCAACTCCTCTAAGACTCAGCTTCTTCATGTGTAAAAGAAAAGTCATAAATAGCTCCTCTATTATTTCGTGATGAGCAATTGAAACGCCTCAGCTAATAGTAACAATAATAATTGGGGACGTGGGCAGTAATATCCGTGACCTTAACATTTGTACCCCCGTGATATGCTGCAATTAAAAACATGGAAAAAATAATAAAAATTAAAAATAATAAAAAGTAATAATTTAAAAAGTAATAATAATAATTAACAAGAGGCCAGGCGCGGTGGCTCACGCCTATCATCCCAGCACTCTGGGAGGCTGAGGCGGGAGGATCGTTCGAGGTCAGGAGTTCGAGACCAGACTGAGCAACAGTGAGACCCCGTCTCTCCCATAAATAGAATAAAATTAATCGGCCAACTAATATATATAGAAAAAATGAGCCGGGCGTGGTGGTGCATGCCTGTGGTCCCAGCTACTCGGGAGGGAGGCCGAGGCGGGAGGCTCGCTTGAGCCCAGGAGTCGGAGGCTGCTGTGAGCGAGGCTGACGCCATGGCACTCACTCTAGCCCGGGCGACAGAGCGAGACTCTATCTCAAAATAATAATAATAATAATTGGAGGCATGGGCAATATACTTAACCTTAACATTTGTACCCCCATACTATGCTGAAATTTTTTAAAAATGGAACTAATAATAATAATAATTAATAAGAGATCAATAATCTTCGAAAGACACTGTTCAAAGAATGAAAAGTCACAGACAAGAAGAAAAAACCTTTCCAAATGACATATGTGATCAAGGACTCATATTCAATCAAGAACTCTCAGAACTCAATGCTAATAAAGCAAACAACCCAATTAAAAATGAGCAAACGACTGAATGGACACTTCACCGAAGAAGAAATGTGGGAGGCAAGTAAGAGTAGGACAAGACGCTCGGCGGCATTAGTCACTAGGAAAATGCGAATTAAAACCACAAGGAGGGCCGGGCGCGGTGGCTCACGCCTGTCATCCCGGCACTCTGGGAAGCCGAGACAGGAGGGTCGCTCGAGGTCAGGAGGTCGAGGCCAGCCTGAGCAAGAGCGAGACCCCGTCTCCACTAAAAATAGAAAAAGAAATGAGCTGGACAACTAAAAATAGATAGAGAAAAAATGAGCCGGGCGTGGTGGCGCATGCCTGTAGTCCCAGCTACTCAAGAGGGAGGCTGAGGTGGGAGGATCGCTCGAGGTCAGGAGTTCGAAACCAGCCTGAGCAAGAGCGAGACCCCATCTCTACCAAAAATAGAAAAATAAACAAGCTGAACAACTGAAAATACATATAGAAAAAAAGAGCCGGGCGTGGTGGCGCATGCCTGTAGCCCCAGCTCCTCAGGAGGGAGGCCGAGGCAGGAGGATCGCTGGAGGCCAGGAGTCTGCTGTGAGTGAAGCTGACGCCACGGCACTCACTCTAGCACGGGCCGCAAAGCGAGACTCTGTCTCAAAACACAAAAACAAAACAAACAAAAAAGAAACGGCGGCGCTGGCTTCCATCACGATGCTCTGGGGCTGTTTGTGACGCGGTCCGAGAGCAAATCTGCACGGTGCGCGACCCCGATCCTCCCCACCATCTCAGAGTGGCCGCTCTCGGGCCTCCGCCCGCCTCAACCCCCCTCCCCGGAACCTCCCCGGTGGACCGTGGGCAGCTATGCCCTCCCTGCGGCGGCTCACGGCGGCCCCTGGGCCCCGGATACACGCGAACACGCACATTCGGGCCGTTGCGAGTCTCGGGGCCGCGCAGTCCAAGAGCGCGGCAACTAGCTCTGCCTCTGCGTCTGTCCTGGGGGGTTCAGGAGGCGGCGCCAGCTCAGGGAGGGGTGCAGAAGGGACGCCCCCACGGCCCCCACGGCCCCCCGCCGTCCCGGCCTCACCTCACCACGTCCACGGAGGCTGCCCCGGCCTTGAAGAAGTCGGTGGAGTCTTCGACCTCCAGGACGTTGGGCAGGATCCGCTGCCAGGCGCTCTGCAAAGCAAGACCCGGTGACAAGGGAGGCCCGGGGGCGAGGCTGGTGGCGGGAACTTCTGCAAATTGTCCTGCATGTCCGCCGCCAGCCTCCAATCGTTCCGGCCTCCACCCGCCCTCCTGACCCCAGGTCCCGGAAGGCTCCAGCTCGGAGCCCTCGGGTTAAACTCGCGCCCCCGGCCACGCCTGCTCCTCCACATTTGCAGCTCGGCCTCCAAACACGTTTTAGAACTGCCGTGTTTTCCCCAAACACCACATGGGGTCTGCTCTTTGTTTTTCCCTCCGAGTAAATAACTAATAAGATTATTATTAATTATTATTACTAATTATTCAGAGAAGACACCGCAGGGCGAATTTTCAGGGGACACGTTATTTTTCTTTTTTTTTTTTTTAAGTGCGGTCCAGCCGCCTCCATGGATTCAAACAGAGTGACGTCTGGGCGGGGGCGCGGAGGATCACGCCTGTCGACCCGGCACTCTGGGAGGAGGCCGAGGCGGGAGGATGGCTCGAGGCCGGGAGCTCGAGGCCAGCCTGAGCTCAAGAGCGAGACCCCGTCTCTACTAAAAATAGAAAAGAAATGAGCTGGACAACTGAAAATGTATATAGAGAAAAAGTGAGCCGGGCGTGGTGGCCCATGTTTGTAGTCTCAGCTACTCGGGAGGGAGGCCGAGGCGGGAGGATCGCTCGACGTCAGGAGTTCGAGGCCAGCCTGAGCAAGAGCTAGACTCGGTCTCCGCTAAAAAATTAAGAAAGAAATGAGCTGGACAACTGAATATACAAATAGGAAATATAGCTACAGGTACGGAGGAGCTCAACGCCATGTCATCCGGCACTCTTGGAAGGCCGAGGCCGGAAGGACTCGCTTAGAAGGTACAGGAGTTGGAGGCCAGCCTAGAGCAAGAGCGAGACCCGTCGTCTAAAAAAAAAAAAATTAGAAAATGAGACTGAGGACAACTTAAAAATATAACAAAAAAAGAGCCGGGCGTAAGGTGGGCATGGCTGTAGTCCCAGCTACTCGGATGAGAGGAGGCCAGAGGCTGGAGGCTCGGCTCAAAGACACGGGATCGGAGCTGCTAGTGAGCGAGGGGCTGCACGCCACGGCCACTCACTCCAGCACCGTGCGA